TACGTGTGACTCTCTTATTGACTTCGCATAATACATATTAACATTTCTAATTTTATAATCGTTGTTTAACTCAATTAATTACATTTAAAAATAATAAATTCCACATTAAACTGAAATTATTAGTTTAGTGTGTTCAATCAATCATCATTTACCCCAGTGCCGCAAAGGCTCCCAATTAAAATGTCACTTTTATTCGACTAACATAAAAAGTTTACTTTTGACATTTGATTTAAAATTATTTATTTAAAATTATCTTTCATTTAAATTTTTGGAGTGTCACATTCTACCTACGGTGGGGTAGGGGGGGTCGGATGTATGCAGTCTTACCCCTGTACTAAAGCTCAGAGAAATTGTTTCCGGATGACTCATAATGAAAATCGCGTCCAAAATTGCATGGAGTGACTGCTGCTTCATGACAAAGAAGAACAGACAGTTTGGTGAACCATTTTGCTTTATTCCATTATATTCTCAAGCCAAGAAATAATGAATCTTTGGTTCCATTGCAAATGATGGAAATGTCAGTTTAGTTTGTTACAAAAACATTTAATTTTTTATAGCAAACTAACGTAACCAGTTGAGTAATTAAAATTGGTTAAAAACAGCTTCATATAATCAGATCAAATAGTTATTACAACAGTTATTATAAAAGTCTATTACCTATCTCTCCAATTCTACTCATGATTTATATTTACACTTACATGACGCAAATGTAAGTGTAATATAAACATTTTAAATGTAAGTGTAACGTAATCCAATGTAAATGTTAATGCATATTAACATCTCTAATTTTACAATCGTTGTTTAACTCATTAATTTTACAACAATTAATTTATTTATAACACCTACACAATATGCTTAATTATTGATTGGGTTGTGCATTAAATTATATTGTAAATTATTTTTTAAATTCAATACTTCAATTATATGCATAGATACACTCAGTTTATACGGTGTGTAAAAACATCATGATATGAAAACATAATAACCATATGCATATATGTGTCTGGTCGTGAGGAGGGGTGTTAAATGTCCCACACCGGAAAAGTTTGGATGAACAAAATGCTATATTAACACATGGGCTAGTCCTCCTATCATGTTGACCTTTTAGGATGGAACCCCGTGTCTTAACAATATAACATGAACACAATCAAAATCTTCACAGTAAAAATAATATACATAACACTTTTATTATTCTAGCTTCAATTATGCACAATTGCAAGAATAGCAATAATATACTCTCATCATCCCAACGAAACCCAACGAAACTGCAACATTGAAACAACGAGGATAAGCGGGATCGCAACACGTGTTGGGGCTGCAATATTGTAGTTGCATTCTTTAGCGCAACCGCATCTGGCCGCAATGGAGGTAAAATTTCAATTCGCGGGGAAAATCTACTATGTAACCCAACAAAACCACAATGGGGCCATATCAGATCGTATGAAGACACCAACACTAATTATTTTCTCATTTCGTTTGAATTTAAAATTTAATTAATAGTAAACGGCATTATATTAAACTTTGGATCCTATGAATAATTCACAATATTTGTTACTACATGGAGTAATATTTTTCATTTTAACTACTCATACTCCACATCAAATTGACGCGCTACCGGGGCATTGCCCCGGGCTTTACACTAGTCCTTCCTAAAACCAAGTGACATTATATGACAATAATCTCACTTCAGCGCCCTAGTGACCTACTACTAGTGACTTCAGTGACCCACTGCCGCAAAGTGACCCACAACAACCTTAACCAACTGAGTGTGACTTTGGTGATAGTAACTTGTCATCCCAATGACTCCACACAGTCCTAGTGACCAACTGATAGTGACCCTCACGACATTGATCCATACCGGTGTGCAATGTCCATTCCACCTATCACAATTGACGCATGCACCACCTAGTTGTTACCTAGGACCCTAGCCTCCACCAACTAGCCCGAATTCCTAATCGTTGTTGTAGCCCCTCCCAAAACCCTAGTCACCGCCAATTCGCCCAAACCCCTAGTTATTGACAGTGCCCCACTCAACAATTGTAGCCATTGCGGTCACCACCGCCCATTAACCATAGCCGGTTGCTTCCATTGCATTCGATCTAATTAAAATTGTAGCCATCATTGCCGTCAAGTTTTGTCCACTCCCAATCAAACACATGATGCCGATTCAAATCATTGTTGTGAACCAATTGCTAGAGAATGGCATTAATGCCTCCTCAAATAGCCACGTAGAAGACGAGGATAGAACCCATCGAATAGAAGAAGAGAGGAGTTCGACTGTAGTGGTTGCGGCGATGGTGCAATGCAGCGATGGTGGGATGCGGTTGTGGAGAAGATGATGCGAGAAAGAGGATTGTGGGGAAGACGATCAAGGCTGAGTGAGACACCAACAAAGGATTGCTTTTTTTCATGAAAGGTTGTCTTAGTCCATTCATTGTGTTTAGTCTTTTCTTTTGTCCAAATAAAAAGTCTTATTTTTGTTTAGATGAATCAAGGTATTCTTGGGACCTTAGAGACTAATGAAAGTAGATATGTAAAAAATGCCTGGTTATTGACAAATATCTGAAGTGAGACTATTTTTAAATATTTATGAAAAAATATTAAATCGATTTTTTTTCATGATTTATTTTTATCTACACACAATTATAAAATTAAATTTGTAACAAACACATTGATTATTACGATATGACATCAGCTTGCGAGTCAATGTGCATGGTTGGATCGAAAGACATGGTTGCGCTATTAGTGCGAAAGCAACCGTTATGATTATCGATAAATATCTGATGAGTCACATAATCGTAGACTATCACCAAAAGTGACTCGACATTTACGATATTAAATAAATGGTGTATTAATTATAACTGATAACAATGATGATGAAAATAATAATAATAATAGCTTTTGTATCCTTAATAAGGAAAGAAGAAAAAGAGAGACTGAGGGGCTTCTGGTGGACAAGGGGTGAAGAAAATTGTAAAAAAACGGATGAATCAAGGTGTTCCTTAGACCTTAGAGACCAATGAAAGTAACAGAGTTGAATAGATTATCTGCAAATTATCTATAGTGAGACTATTTTGGGGGTTTGAGGTGAATATTACTAAAAATGAGTTTTGGAAAAATATGTTTCCTGAATTTCAAAACATGTGACTAAATATCTACATAAGTCCTTAATTGGGATACTTCTAAAAGCATGCTAAATTACCACTTATAAGGTCAAGTGACATTATCTAGTAGTGACCTCACATTGGCGCCCCAAAAACCTATTGCCATTGACTCCGCTGATCCGCTGCCACCCTAGTGAGCCACCGTAGTACTTACCCACCTAGGGTGATCCTGCAATAGTGACTCATCTCCACATTGAATCGAGGCAACCCCACATCTATGACGATAGTGAATCGTTGTCGTGCTAACTTCAGGCAACCCCAGCGATCAATTAGTAATGACCCCATATTGGCGCCAATGACCACTCCACCTATCCCAGTGACACAGGCACCACCCAGCTGCTGCCTAGGACTCTAGCCTCAACCAACTAGCCAAAAATCCTAATCGTTGCCATAGCCCTGTCAGAATCTTAGATTCTGACAATTAGCCCAAAACCCTAATTGTTGTCGTCCCCCCGCTCAAAAATTCCAGCCACCGCTGTCACCGCCTCCCATTAACCATTGTCACACCACTTCCTCATTCGATCTAATTAAAACTGTAGCCATCACTATTGTCCGACAGTCTCTATCCACTCCCATTCGATCATATGACCCCGACTCAAATCATTGTCATAATCCAATCTCCAAAAATTGGCATCAATGCCTCCTCAAACAGCTACATAGAAGAAGAGAAGAGAATCTATCAATTAAAAGAAGAGAAGAGTTCAACGGCAATGGTGTGATGCGGTGATGGTGGGATGTGGTGGTGGAGAAGATGACGCGAGAAAGGGGATTTTGGGAAAGATGATCGATCCAAGGGACACAACAACAAAGGGTACACTTTTTTATTTTTACCAATGATGTTTTAGTCCATTCATTCATATTTAGTCTTTTTATCGAGATAAAAGTCTTATTTTGTTCAGATGAGTCAAGGTATTCCTCGGAATCAATAAGACCAGTTGAGTAAAAAAAATGAGATAGGGTCGCACTATTTGTACGTAAACAACCATTATAAATCATCGACGAGTGTCTGTTGAGTCACAGACCCGTAGACTATAACCGAAAATGACTCGACAGTTACGATATTTTTTTTGGAAGAAGACAATTACGATATTTAATAAATAGTGTATTAATTGTGACTAATAATAAACATAAAATTGTACTCCCTCTGTCTTGAATTGTAACACTTCACGGTTTACGATGTTTGATCGACGATAAAGCAAACGGATCTCTGCCTGAACTCAAATTATTTTTAGAAAAAAAAGAATAACATATTTAGAAACTACTCCCTCCGTCCCGCTAAGATTGTCCCTTTTTACCTTTTCGTGAAGTTCCACTAAGCTTGTCCCATACCAAATTTGGTAAAGTTTGTGTGGCTCTAAATCATTTTTACTTTATTCTTACTTTATCAATTTAATATCAACCACACAAACTCACTTTTCTTAATAACCGTGTCACCTTCTCATGTCCCAAACTTAGTGGGACGGAGGTAGCATTTAAAAGCTTTTCAAAGTCGCAAAAACCAAAATCAAATTTTGATAAACATTTGATATATAAAGTAAGAGATTAAAAATGATTTGTATTGATCAAATGAATAAGAAATATATCTTACAAAATGGGACTAATGGAGTAACAAATTAACAATGGAAATAATAGTAATAGTAATTTTTTAATTAAAAAAGAGTATCCTTCACACCTATCACCATGTTCCTCCCACAGCGTCTCACACACAACCCCACATTAATAATATAGTAAAAAAATCGCCCTTAGTGATTAATCAATAATACCAACTATAAATAACCCTACATGGTTATCCATAATTGTATAGAATCCCATTAAACAACTCAACCCTCCCCCTTCCCCCAACAAGTCTTAGATCCCTCAACTTAGATCCCTCTCAAGTCTCACCCCCCACCCCCAACAAATCTTAGATCCCTCAACTTTGATTGGCCCTCTCAAGTCTCACCCCCACCCTATAGCTTTCTCAATCTCTCTCCACATAAAAATAGGGCCAAGGAGAAATAGTAGAAGAAACAAGGAGCCAAAGAGAAAAAGAAAGGTCCAACCTTGACAACTCGCCCTTCATGTTAGGTATTTTACTGGTATCTCTCTATCTCCCGAAAATTCCTTGAAAAATCAATTTTGTCAACAGAAGTGCTTTGTGTCTGTTCAAAAATTTGAAAAATAGATATCGCTATCTATAGTCTACACCCTTCTCTTTCCATGTATGTAGTTATGTACAATACGTAGGATTGGATGTATAGAAAGCGCGGGCCGAAATTCTGTGTCCAGCGGCCATGATTATTCACTTCCCGCCCAAAAACTTACATCCCACACCCATCAGCTTCATCGAACGAAACCCATCTGATCGGAAAAAATCACAAATCCATTCACTTTTGCTCAACTAATACACCTGAGCTTTTTTAATGATGCTCGATCTTCTTTTGTTTATGATAGTCTTTGCGCTCTTCAGCTAACTTAGTGATGATTTCCGTTTTTAGGGTTTTGATTTTCTAATGGCAGGTTGGTCCAAAAGAGTGAATGGGTCGGGTATAGATTGCTTGAGCTCTCTTGAAACCCCCCAGGAGAAGCTTGTTGATTTTATAGTTGGGGTTAAAGGCTATAGGAAGGAGGTTGAGGGAGAAAGAACCAATGCTGAGACTGCGGTTTTGTTTACTAAATTGGTTGCTCATTTGCTTGAAGAATCACACAGCCCTAGGTGTTCTATCCAGATGCCACCCAGGATTGGGAATGATAAACCAGTTAATTTGCTTAAGCTATATCTTGTTGTGAGGGAGAGAGGTGGGTATGGGGCAGTTTCGAGGAGTGGTTTGTGGGATGAAGTTGCTAGGGAATGTGGGTTCGATTTGCCGTCTGGGGTTCCTTTGAAATTGGTTTATGCCCAGTATTTGAATGCACTTGACAGGTGGCTGCAGAAGCAATTAAAGGAGCCCAAGAGTCCGGAAAGAAATAGTGGCATTGATGTTGATGGGATATCAATGGACATGGACTCCAGCTTCATGAACGTTATTAGGACGATTTTGGAAGTGAAGACAGGCAAGAAGAATGTCAACTCTGCTGACTTAGAGAATTCTAATATTGTTGAACCATCAGTAACTGTCAAAACAAACGTCACTGTAAAACAGGATGATAATTGGCCTGCTACCACTTTTCTTAAGGAAGAAAATACCATAAGCAGAAAGAGGAAACATGAATCTTACCTTGATATGGTAAATTGGGTACTTACGGCTGCAAAGGACCCTTGTAACACATCAATTAGGGAAATACCGGATGTTTCCGACTGGAATTCTTATGGGACTGATACGATTTGGAAGCAAGCTCTGTTGCTGAAAGGATTAATGCTCTTGAAACAGAACACTGATTCAAGTTGCCAGAATTCTGTTTTGCAGGCAAGCTTGTAGTTTTTGTCTTGCTCTCTTGCACTCTCAGTATGATATCAGTAGTCACTGTTAATCAAGAAATACTTTACACTGATTCACTCTCATTCTGAGAAATATATTTGGTAATCTTGGGTATTCTTAAATGAACTTAATCTGTATGCACATAGCATCAAGTGTTTGCATATCTGCATGCATACATGCTTCATGATTATTGACCATCTTACTGATGAAAACGATGTGTCTAGTATTTTCGCCTGTGTTTGGAATCATATGTGTCTTATTTAAGGTCTTGTAGCTCAAATATGAAACATGGCCGGCGCATATTCTTTTATCATGTTATTATGTTCTACTAGTATAATCTTTATAACTACTGGATATTTTTATTATGAGTGCGATATTGTGTATTCCACATTTTTGTAGTCCATATGCTTATAGTGCTTATCAGGAGATGTAGTATAGTCCACATTTTTGTAGACCATCTATTAAATGCATCATAATGCTATAGTATGGTCCTGGCCTCCTGGGTGTGCATGCAAGCTTTGTAAATATTTGGGGGCTGTTAGCTTGTAGTCAGAGTTTAGGACTACTCTTTTAGTACTGGAGTTTTATTTCTTTTTATGTTATAGTTAGTTAAGGCATTATGAGCCTTGGAGTGGTGTGATTTAAAGACATCTTTCTGTGTCAAGACATGTGTAAATGGTAATGTTATATTATTTGGTCACATGGTCTAAATTTTAATGTGATCCATCCAATCATAGAGTAATAGGCTATGCTCTTGACGGAAAGAACATTTTACATGTCACTGATAATCTGATATTATGTTCAACAAGATTGAGTTCAACCTAATTTTACTTGAGTAGTTCTATTTGCACTATTGTTCAGTATTTCTTCTATATTTTTGAAAACATTATATCTTGATTTTTTCATGCATATACCCACCGATTATTTAGTACGGAGTAATATATTGGTTTGATTTCAGGATATATACCCGTCCAACTCTTGTTTATTTCTTTTAAGAAAGTGCAAATAACATCACATTCCCTCCGTCCGTTATAACTTTGCCATCTTTACTTTTTTGGTTGTCCTGAAAACTTTGGCACTTTCCCTTTTAATAAATTAATTTGTGGTTCCGGTTATTTCTCTCTCCTTTGCCCAAACCTATGTTATCAAAACCGGACCGGGAAGTGACCCGGCCAAGCTACTGGGTCACGGGTCAGCGCCAGAAGTATATCTACAAAATATACTCCGTATAATATTATATAAATTTAAAATAAAAGGTATTTATTCTTTAGAATAATCAAATAATTTTAATACTTAGTAAACATTGAGAACCCAAATATAGTGTTCGAAAACATAGTTTTAATCATATTTGAAACAATGATGTTATTTAATATCTAGAATAAATATTAAAATATATGATATATTTTTCCAAAAAATTAAATATGGATATAATTACAATATCTTAGAGTTGTATAAGTACTTATATTTATAATATTTTATAAAATATGTGAGTATGATAATAGAAATAATATGCATTAGTATATTTATTATGTACTCCCTCCGTCCCAATATAAAAAACACACTTTCCTTTTCGGTCCGTCCCAATATAAAAGGCACATTTCCCTTTTTGGCAAACAAAACAGTGCAAAACAGTGCCAAACAGTGTCCAAACAGTGCCAAACAGTGTCGAAACAGTGCCAAACAGTGTTCAAACAGTGTTCACCCTTAAAATGTCTAGAAACGCAAATGTGCCTTTATATTGGGACGGAGGGAGTATTAGTTAATCATAATGGTTACATTCAAAGTATCATGTTGATAAATAGGAAAGGTATTGATGTTATAAATCTTTTTTAGACATGGAAATGAACAAATCGTCAAGGTAGCAGGATGGGCAGTCGTTTGAAGAGTCTGGTAGTGCGCCCGGGATCGATTCCCGTATCCTGCGATTAATTTATTACATGATCTTCGGATCATATATTTTGGGTCAGCCGAGTTTAACGGGTTTTGGCCGTAGCGAGTCCGGGCCGGGTGCTGCCAGGTTACTGGATTTTTCCGGTTTTCACCCTATTAGCGGTTTGATGGGTGGCCGGACCGGATTAGGCTCTGGGTCGGGTTTCCAGGTCAACCTGGCCGGTCCGGTCTGGTTCTGGTAACATAGGCCCAAACCTCAACCACATAGTTTTCTTTATTATTCTCCGTGCCGGTCAAACTTGGGAAAGTTTTAAGGGACATAGGTAGTACTTTTAAATATTTTCCTCTATTTGGCCTTTATGCTGTTTGAAGATGGCATGGAGCTTCTATTTGCTTAGTTGGAAAATGCGAATTTAGTTTCAATCACATACATCATATTTACTCTGCGATTTATGGTAATGTTGTTTTTATGAATATTCCATAATGTTTCACACCAATCTCCTGATTTGATTATATTGTTGTTATGAAATTTCTCTTTATTTGTAGAAATCACAGAAGATGCACCCCACAATGTATGAGGACAAGAGTGCTCTTTCTGATAGAGTGAGATGCAGCCAAAGGCTTGTTGCTCAAGAAGATTCTTTCAAAAAGAAACGCACACAGATTTCTTCCATATCATCAACTGCAAGTGTTCCCAGTGCTGATGATCCAATTGACACACAGAACACACCTACACAAGATTTGGATGCTGGTCGTTGGTGGAACCAGCATCGTAGAAAGCGGACACCCGTCGGACGTAATTTCCAAGCAGAAGTACCAGAGTGGACGGGTGAGATCATAGAAAGTGATTCTAAATGGTTGGGACAACAAATCTGGCCTTTACCAAAAGGTGAGAAGCGTGAGATGTTAATTGAAAGAATCCCTATTGGAAAGGGAAGGCAAGAAAATTGTGGCTGCCAAAACCGAGGCTCCTATGAGTGTGTTAAGTTCCATATTTCTGAGAAAAGGACAAATTTGAAATATGAGTTGGGCTCTGCCTTTTATCTATGGAAACTTAATTGTACCGGTGAGGATGTTGCAACTTATTGGACCAAAGAAGAAGAAAAGAAATTTAAGGATATAGTAATAGCAGGCTCTCCTATATCAGAAAGCAAGTCTTTCTGGGATGAAATATTTAAGGAGTTCCCTAAAAAGAGTAGAGACGCGTTGATAAGCTACCACTTTAATGTTTTCCTTCTCAGGCGCCGAGCTCACCAGAATAGGTTCACACCTACCGAAATTGACAGTGATGATGATGAAGAACATTGTGGTCCAAGGGCAAACTCTTTTGGCCGGGAACCTACTAAGCCTTCCAACCCCATTTTCTCCTCATCTAAAAAGTGAGCTTAAGATCCCCACACAGTACATATGGTCTTCCGTCTTCCATTGACTTGTTTGTAGCTGTAAATTGCAGAAAATTCTTAAAGTGCTTCTACTGTTGAGCAATTCTTTCTTTGGTGGGAATAGGCTTGAGGGTGCGGATGCAAACATGATAGCTATCCTTATTCACATATACCAAAATTCCTGATAGCAGGAGGAAATTTTTGCATTATGCTTATGTGTCCCAATGGTTTACACCAGTGACTGCTCTATAAAGAGTTACTACTGTCTACTGTATTGTTTTTTCCCTCTTGAAGCATATTTTTTTAAAATTATTTAATGGAATTTCTTTCTTTAAATATTTCGTTTCATCTCTAGCTCATCTCTACCATTTCTAACGAGGGTGTTTCTCTTAGGAGGTGTTTGGATCTACTTCTTGAAAATTGAAATCACTTCTGCTTCTTCAGAGAGTAGAAGTAGATATTGGAGTGTTCAGGTGAAATTGTTACTTTTGAGTGCTCTTAATTGCTCCTACAAGCAATTTTTTAGAAGTTGGGATAAACTAGCTTTGATTTTGCTTATATTTTCTTTTTTAAAAAGAAGCAAACGCAGAATCAAATTCCAAACACTCCTCACTTGCTGCGCCTTTGAGAGCAAGGCTTGGGCGTTGGCTTCATTGTTCTTTATGGTACAAGTTGACATTTTATGTAAAACTTCATAATTGTATTTCGAAATTGTGACCATTTAGCTCTTGGTTGGAGAACTTCAAAGAGAAGGGGAGGAAAGTGTTTTTGGTTGAAAGAGCATGGTTTTGTTCTTGCTCGAGAGCTGGTTCTGGTTCTTTAATTATTTAGAAAATTTGGTCCAATCTTGTTTTGAGGTAAGAGGAACCTTGCGCTATGTTTGGGTGAGGTGTGGAGAAGTGTTATACCTAAAAGTACCTGGAAGTGTAGGCACGATTTAAATTGAATTGTAGGCACGATTTAAATTGAATGATGTTGTCTTTTCTTGTCATAGAAAGTGCACACACATGATGTTGTGTAAGTACTAAGTTCGATGTGCAGGAGCATTAAGTGCACTAAACATCACTCCCATGTTTAATAGGAAGAGGGTATTAGGTTGAGGGCATGTCTCAATTGGTGGGAAGAGGATGCTACAATAGTAATTTGCCAAATCAATTTTCGAATTCATGCAAAATGTGACGAGGGGTGACTATATAAAAATGTAAAGAGCATCTATAAGTATTTGAGCGAGAGCTTCACTGGTTCTCTGTCAATTTGTGATAAAAGCTTAACTTACATCTTCCAATCTAACTATCCGGTAGGTTCTCTCATGGATGGTAGCTTTTCTGCTCTGTTTCTTTAAAGAATAAGTAAGGATGTTTTTACTTGGATTGTAATTTGCCCCAGACCAGACCAGACCAGTTCAGACCAGACCAGACCAGTTCAGACCAGACCAGACCAGACTTGGATAGTTATAAAAATACAAAGAAACCAGACCTTACCAGACCAGACCAGATCAGACCAGACCAGACCAGCAAATTACAATCCAAGTAAAAACATCCTAAGTATCATCAACAAAAAAAGATGGGATACCCTCGGAGCTCTGAAATATAGTGCCACCTCATGTAATTCCCTACTAATCTCTTTATCCAAATCAAACTACTTAGACCTTTTGCCACAAAGATGAACAATTAGGGAGAAAGTGGATTCCATTTTCTTAGATCCCGCACTGGATTAATCGGACTCAAAACCTTATCTTAAAAAGGTATTTGTAATAGCTCACCCATTTCTCGTCAAAACCGAAACTTAAAAGTACTTGCCTAAAAAAGACCACTCTACTCTACCATAAACGTTGCTCAATTCTCATATCCAATTTTAACGATGTTGATTGCACTATACATTGTTTCTTACGTTGTCAATGATGCAACGTTTCAAAAGTAATCAAGACAATATCCACGATAATGCGACCTGACACAAACGCACTTTCATTTTCGGATATCAAACTGGATAAAAAACGTTTAGGGCCTATTTACTAACAGAGATATTTTCCGATTTTTTACTTCTGTTTTTTGTTCTAGAATTTTCTGTTTTTATTTTTCAATTTTTCTATCTCCAATTTTCTGTTTCTATTTTTTAGTTTTCCATTTTCAAATCTGAAAACATGTTCATCAATTTTTTCACCCCAATTCTCCAATTCCACACCTTTGACCCCTACCCCTACCCTTACCACGATCTTACACTCTACCCATACTCCCCCACAACCCTTCATACCCTTACCATAGGTGTCGGGGTAGTGGGTAGGGGTGGGGTAAGGGGTATGGTCGTGGTGGGGTGGTAAGGTCTAGGGGTAGGGGGTTGGGTGGGGGTAGTGGGTGGGTTAGGGTCGTGGTTAGGGGTAATGGTGGGGTAGGGTTGGGGTAAGGTAGGGGTGGGAGTTGGGATAGGATGGTGGTAGGGTGGGGTCGGGACCAGGGTGGGACCGAGGTAGGGAAGGGGTAGGGAAGGGAAGGGGTAGGGTGGGGGGGGTAGGATGACGGTAACGGTGGGGGTAGTGGGTAGGGTTGGGATAAGGTAGGGGTAGGGTAGGGAGTTGGGATAGGATGGCGGTAGGGTGGGCCCGGGATCTAGGTGGGGCCGAGGTAGGGGAAGGGTAGGGTGGGGGGTAGGATGGCGGTGGGGGTAGGATGGCGGAAGGGTGGGGGGTAGGATGGCGGTGGGGCCGAGGTAGGGGGCATGTGGTAAGGGGTAAGGTGGGGGTGGGGTGGGGTTGAGGTGGTATGGGGTGGCGGGGTGAATCGGGGTGGGGCCGAGGAAGGGGCATGTGGTAGGAGGTGGGGTAGGGTCATTATAGGGAAAATGGGTACGCGGGGTGGGGGTTGGGTGGGTAGGGTAGGGTAGGGGTAAGGGGTAAGGTATGAGGATGGAGGTATCGGAATGGCATCGACATCGGAGCGGGACCGGACCCACCACTAGGTGTAAGTATGCAAATTCATTGCAGCGACACTGTAACATCTGCCTTTTTCAAATTTGGAAAACTAGTAAAAGTTACTTCTCTAAATCATTAAGGAAAAGAGAGACATGTCTCATTTTTTTCGTTTTGGAAAACGATTTGGTGAACGCGTTTTTCTTTTTTCCTTTCTCCAGTTTTCCAGCAATTTCTTTGGTAAACACGTTTCCTGTTTTCTGTTTTTCAATTTTCTGGAAAACTGGAAAATATCTCTGTTAGTAAATAGGCCCTTAATCTCTTTGTCATCAATTTTGCAAAAATTAGACACCACATTACATTGTGCATCGATCTCCAATCACTCATAAATTTTGGTCCCTCCTTTGATGGAATCAAAACCAGATGACACTTCCCCACTTTGCATTTAATCTCAGAACAAATATGAAATAAATTCGGTCCCACAATATCCCAAAAATATTGATAAAATCTTGGGTTCACACCCTCCTGTCCAAGGGCTTTATCCGAATACAAGTTGACTAATGCTTTTCTCACTTCATCTTCACTCACACGCCTCAACAATCTTTCATTTTATTCCTAAGTTACCTTATGCCTACCTTCGAAGTTAGTCTCATTGTTACTTGGACTTGGGCAGTGAACAACTGGGAAACATTATCACTGACCATACTTCCCAATTCTCATGGTCTTGTTATTTGATACCAACTCACCCTCTCCATTCAATAAACCCACCATTTTGTTTCGCCGCTTTGATTAAAAAACACTCAACTAACAAGTGTGGTCTGAAGACAAAATTTACCAAAAACGAACTATATAAATTGCATCAATTTAAAACGCCCACTGCCCAAGGCAGTAATTGAATCCACTAAGAAAAGTATGAAAATATATACTTCAATATGTTACTCAAGTTTACTATCGATGCACATATGAGAAGTAATTTCCCCGTCCCCTGACACCTAATCTCGTTCCCCACCAATTACTTAAATGATCTCAATTAATAATTAGTAATACTAATGGTGTTCCCAAAGAATGTGAGGTCCATAATACTAATGTTTTTACTTGACTGTTTTCAAGATATTTTCTTTTGGATTGTTTTCAATCATAGATCAGACTAGATCAGAGACCAAACTTAAACTGATCATACCACACTTAAACATGACAATTCTCAGACCAGACCCGAAGACTCAATGTGCATGTTTTCCAAATTTTATAACCTCTTCATCCAATAAATTATCTTCTCGCTCAGTTCATTGTATCTTATTGGAATATGCTTCAGGTTACACAGGTTACCGTTGTCTTGATCCGAAATCGGTCGCGTATGTATATCAATCATGATGTTATTTTTTCATGAGACAAATTTCCCCTATCCAACTTTCAGTTCTCCTACCCAATCATCTTTGATGGGATTCCTGTCGATTCATTCATTGCACCCCCCCACCGATTCAATATATTCATTACATCACCAGAAAAAGATAATTCATTCATATTTTTTCACTACATAGTTACATTTGGAAAAGTACAATCGGGGATCCTGGTTTTAAAATCATCGATCAAGATCTAGATTTCACAGTGGATGATACTTTTGCACAAGGTATTTGAGCATATGAGAATCCTTGAAATGACATCTATTTGTGATAACACTGCTTCTAGTTTGGTGATGGTAGAAAGACATCCTTAGGACCGAGGTTATAAGAAGTGAGTAATGTAAACGATGTGTATTTGATGATTGAAAGAGATTACATAGGTATGTATATATAGTTACAGTTGATAAGAAGATAAGATTCTACCTCTAACTATTAGGAGATAATTACAATAATTAATTAAATACAAATAGATGAGATAATGTTAACGATTATCCTTTACACGCCCCCGCAAGATGGAGGATCCGTCCGAGACTCCAATCTTGGACCGAAAGTGAAGAAACATAGCACGGCCAAGGGGTTTAGTGAGAACATCAGCTAATTGATTTTTGGTAGAGATGTGATAGACGGAGAGATTATTAGCTGCAACCAGGTCACGAACAAAAAAATAATCCAGGCATAGATGTTTCATTCGGGAATGAAAAACCGGATTTTTGCACACGTATGTAGCGCTGAGATTATCACAGTAGAGACGAGGAGTATGAGGTAAGTCAAATCCAATTTCTTGTAGAAGATTTTTGACCCATAACATTTCCGCAGTGGCATCAGCTAGGGCTCGATACTCTGCTTCTGTAGAGGAACGAGAAACTGATCGCTGAAGAACAGACTTCCATGAAACAATATTAGAGCCAAAGTAAACAATATAAGCCGTAGTAGAACGGCCCATGGTGGAAGTACCTCCCCAATCCGCATCAGCAAATGTGGTAAGATCCAGGCGTTGACCGGCCTTAAGCAGAAGACCATGGTGTGATGTGCCT